TAGATAGATAGATAGATAGATAGATAGATAGATAGATAGATAGATAGTAGTGTCTATTGACAGATGAGTGGATACAGAAAATGCAGCATATACAATAAGGCAATAATCAGTCATGTAAAAGAAGAAAACCCTTGAATACATGGCATCTTGAATTCACCTGAAGAACATCATGCTAAACTAAACAGGACAGTCACAATGTCCTGTATGACTGACCCCTGTATGAAAGTTACAATCCTGTATAATCCCACTTCTCTGAGCTATCTAAATCAGCCCACAACAGGATCATGAATGCCAGCATCTTGCGGAAGAAGGACATGTGGCACTGATATACAATAGGCATAACATTAATTAAACACAATGAGTAAATTCAAGATATCTGTTATGTAAAATCAATATTTTAATAATGACTGCATAATATACCTCAAAGTTTGTTTGAATAGTACAACTGTCAAATGTACTTACTGTGACAAAGTATGGCAAGGAAGATTTTTGAACATTTTCAACCCTAAGATTATGGAAAAATTTTTACCAGGGATAATGTGGAAAATGCCATCATTTATGATATTTGAAACCAGACTGAAGGAAAACATTCAGCAACACAAAATTGACCTTGTTATGCTAAAAAAAGTGACAGGCCTAGATCCCCAGAAGCAGGACTTAAGACCCCAGCAGATGTCATGGCCCATGTTCATCCTGTAGCCCACCCCCACTGCACTGGGCCGGAACTGGCGACTCACAAAAGGAAGACCAACTCAGCACGTCTTTGGCTCTGTGACAGTACTCCCAGGGTACTAGTCAAAGAACCCTCACATCAGTGAACCTTCCAGGGAGTGCACCAGGTCCTTCTCCACAATACCCAAATATTTAAAGTGACCTGCGGTTTTTAATTTCTTTCCTAAAATTAGAAACAATTCCGGTAGAGGGTCAGATCATGGAAATATATGTAGAAACAAGAGCAACTTAGATTAGCCAACAATAGCAAGTAGTGGTTCGAGGACCAAGTTTGGTGCACAGCCTGTTACCCTAGCCTAACACCTTTGAGAATATCAAATCAAGCCTCTCCAAGGTAAAATAGGTAAAACTCCTTTCCTTCTCCCCCCCTTTTGGGATATAGACTAGACAAAAATAAATAAATACATACATAAAAGGGTGGAATGCATCAAGAATTCATGAATCCAAGCCAACATGTCACACAATGGAGTCTGGAATACCACACCTCTGTAACAGTGGGAGAAATGGCTAATGTCCACTCAAGACTTGGCAGAACTCAGAATCACCCAGGAAACACACCTCTAGGCATGTCTCTAGGGATGTTATCACAGAGACTTAACTAACATGGGGAGACCCATCCGGAATGTGCGTGGCAGCTTTGATTTAGCTACTGTGCCTGAGCGAACATAAAGGAGAAAGCCAGAGGGCTCCAGTGTTCACCTCACAAGGCTTCCTGATTGTGTGTGTGATGTGACCAGCTGCCTCAGGCTTCCAGGACCACATAGCCATGGTACCTTGTACCTTCAAACCGTGATCCCAAATAAATCTTTCCTTCCTGGAGTTGCTTTCATCAAGTATTTTGTCAAAGCAACCAGAAAAGTAACTAAGACATGCCTCCAGTACATGATGGTTAAACATTGAGGCGCTGAAATCAGGGAGACTGGGCTCAATTCACAGAGTTGCTATTTATAGACTGTGTGAACTTCCGTGGGGTAAACTTGGGGTTTTGTAACTTTAAGTTTTCCCATCCGCTTAAAACTACATCATATAATTCTTATACTATTACATAAATACATAAATACAGTATATTGTTTTTAATTTTTACCTCACTTAGAAAACCCTTACAAGAATAGAGTATGGCATGCATGCTACTCAGCACAGTACATAGTATTTCTACTCTATGCACAGAGAACCACCTAGTATAATGAATACTATTAAAAAAAGATTAAGCCTGGGGGAGCCTCAACTTTGTAGGATTAACTATGAGTATACACATCACCTGTGCAGTTTTCCCCAAGAGTTCCACAGAAAGAGCCATTGGTTTCAGGCGTTCTGGTTGTATTCTCATCTGCCACCACACAGTGGAGAATTGCAAGACCTGCAGATCCAGAACAAACAGAAAGAACCAGAAAACAAACTTAAAACTTAGCTTAATGTAAAACATCCCCTCGATGTCATGACCCATTATGAAAAACAGTTTAAGCCTGTAGCTTCCATTGCACGCTATCCTCTTCCAAGCAAGAAGGGGATCAGAGAGCATCATGTCTTATGTGTTCACCTCAGTGTAAAGACAGAATTTTCAAGTCAGTATCACTTCCTGTACACACACCTCTTCAGGGAGGAGACTTGGCTGTCGTCCACAGGGGAGGCTCATCACAAAAGCAGAGAGTAGAGGGACGGGAGCACAGCCACCAGATAAACTCGTGGGTGAAGATGCAGAGAGAGTAAATGATGAGCCCACATGGCAAAGGAGATATTCCATCCCCCACAGCCACAAAGCTCTGCGGCTTCTCAGAGGTGAACTTCCAAGCATACTTCCATTGGAGGGATGTCAAATAGATATAAATCCATGAGAAATGTTTTGTTGTTGGTATTAAACAGGGGTTTCAAGCATACTGGGGAAGCTCTCCACCATCAACCCATACTCTCACCTCATTGTGGTGGTTCTGTAAGAATTTTAAGTCTCAAAAAAATAAAATAAAAGAAGAAAGAAAGAAAGAAAGAAAGAAAGAAAGAAAGAAAGAAAGAAAG